GTACTGTTGGAAGCGCTATTGTATTTACTTCAATCGACAAAAAAAATTACCCCGATAGCTTCATTAATTCAGAAGATATGACGGTGGAAATAAAAAATAACAGATTTTATCTGAAATCATTTTTTTTCAGTTTTTTCTGTTAACAAAGTTCTAGACTACTAAAAAATGTCGTAAAATACGATTTCGTATTCCTTATGACATGCTTAACAAAACCTGCCATGTCTGATCTGGTTCCACGCCAAAAAAAAAAAAAACGAAACGATAGGGTCTCGAAATTACTCCACTAGTTGTGTTTTAATAGCTGACACTGAAAATGGTACTCCGGCCTGCCACTTACTCATCTCTCACTATCGGACACTGTAATAATATCTCAATAGAAATCGTTGGAGATTTTCGTAATTTAAATATCATTTCATCTCCCTTGACAATAAATTTGTCAGAGAGTTGATGAAATTTTTATGTTGCATCCTTAATTATCAAAACTTCTTCATCTTTCTTATCTTCATCTTGTGCTTTGCTTTTCATTTTAGAAGACTTGGAAAATTTGAATGAAAAACCATCTTTATTTGCTTCAGAATGTGTTATGCTCTCTATCTTGGCAGACATGGAAAATTTAAAGACTATACCTCCATTATCTTTTATTTAATAATTTGCATTCAAACTGAAATTGTTTTCACCTTTCGAACGAATAAAACTTTAACGTGGTAATCATAAGAATCACAAACGTAAAATGGAAAATTCAATGGAAAACGGAGGGTGGTTTCCAAAAGATAATGATAAATTTTCAATCGATCACAAAGGAAATTTAAATGTATGCATACCATTGAAATTGTGGTCGGGATTTTTCGAAGATTATGAAAGAATTATAATGAATATGAGACAAGAATTAGTTCTCATTCAAGAAAATTATGACATTCATGTTGTTATTACAACAGATGATACGGAAATATTAAAAATTCAAATCCCCAAACTGTATTGGAACGTATCTCATACGTTGGTTAAAATAGTTCGTAATATCACGAATTGAATTTCGAAGTTGGAAATTGATAGAATATCCCACTCTGAATGATTCAACTCATCACAATTGGCTGGAAAAACTTTAACTCAATTAGAAAGTCCTCGACACATAATTATTGCCTTTCAAGATGCACGAACAGGTCAGATTCTTAATGATATGAGTGAATTCAATCATTGTAACTTGACGAATGTACGAGTATTTTTAAATAGTGAAAGATTTCCCTATCAAGATTCAAATTTGGATTTCGATTCAAATCGATTTGCATCACTTTTTAAAATGTTCGCTAATTTCCAAGAAAGATATTATCACATCCAAACAAATCAACCCATATTCAACTCGAAAGAATTCAAAGACAAACTCCAATTATTGATATTGACTGTTTCCATCAAAAATAAATCATTCAGAGCTGATCTGTAGTTTTTCGAATAGAATTTGAAACATCAAAATCTACAGGAAATAATATGTCTGTCTGCATATTGTCCAATATAACATGAGAAAGAATTCTCGTTCGATTGATGACTTATTTATTTTGTAGAAATTCATGTTGAATATAGAATAAAGAAAATACTTTTGTCTAGTTTCTACAGTTTTTATTAGATGAATTTAGGAATTTTAGGATCCATCCAATAGTTGGTAATCGTGACATATTGTAATATTGGTAACGTGTTAGGTCAGGTACCTAGAGCAGATACCTATTCACTTCATTTAAGACGCAACTTGACAATTTGTGGTAGTTACTTGAAAATGGCCTTATAAGCCGAAACCGGTCATAACGAATTAATAAACACAGTAGAAACTAGACAAAAGTATTTTCTTTATCCTATATTCAGAAAGAATTCTATCATAATCCATTGAATAAAATTATGCGACAATGAGTGTAAGTCAGTCAGTTGATAATAATAGTTCAGTATAGATGTAGACTAGTTCAATTTCTGCGCCAGTTGACACAACTCGAAACTGAATTTAAATATTTGGAGAAGAGAAAATTAGTTGGACGACAATTGAAAAATCTTCGAATATGAGATTAGTTATCGATTTTCGAAGTTCCAGAGTCGAAAATAATAAATTCGTAGTAAAATAATAAGCCGTCACGATGACAATCGCCGGATCAGTCACTACTTATTCAAACCACCATTTCCCTCCAACAATCTTCCATACGATCTGAAAAACTTGGTTAATGAAAAACCACCACTACGTAGACTGGAATGTAGGATTCAACCCTCTATATCAAATTGAAAATATTACACGATATCTAGCGAAAGGTGCAGATGTTATGTATGTAAAAAGTAGAGAAAAGTTCAACTTAATCAAGAAATTGTACGGTTTATGAATTGTATGAACATCCTGCACTGGAAAAAAAGACCCCATGTGTTTTTATCATAGTAATAATGAAGATAATTGTGTATGTGTATGTATTCTTTTTGTGTACAAATTCAATGATGAATGATGATGATACACAAATATGTAATGAAAAAATAAAATTTTTGAGTTTAGACTTGTTTTGGAAATGCAATAGTTATTCTTCGTCTTCTTCCTACCACCCCATACCACAACACATTTTGATTATATATAAACATGAAAATGTATCGATAAAATCAGTGTATGATGTTATTTCTCTTGTACCAACAGAGAATTTATTTTTTGAACCAAGATCATTGGCATCTCAAACAGAATGTACATCAATTCAGAACTGGAAAAGTTTCCCATACACTATTTGATTGGAAGAGCACACAAATACATTGCTTGAGAGTACCGAAACAATTTCCATTTACAAGTGCAACTACACTTTTTCATTCAATACTACCGATGAAAATGGCGCACTCACGCAGATGATCCACCAACTCCACAATCAAGATGTCATTTATGTAAATTAGCTCTTGATCAATTGTAATTCAGAAGTGAATGAAATAAAAGTATATACGTTTGTTTTTTGTTTTAATTTCAATTGTTCTTAATGTCATCTACATCACTTGGTGTGAATGAATTGAACTGTATGGAAAATCAGTTCTGTTAACGATTTTGTCACTCACTTGTTTTCAGACAGACGAATTCTCCATAATCCTCTGGTTTTACACTCCCAGGCAACAAGAAATTTAGCTTGGCAAGGGAAATATGATGTGAAGAGTGTATATATACACAGCACTGATTTTATGATAATCTAACCATTATTCTAGTTAAAAAAACGTAAGAAAATGTTCACTGTTACTCTGCTCTATCCTGGTCACGGAAACTTCCTTTCTTCATGTTTTTTAATCTCAACTATCCAAAAAACCACTTTCAATATATCAAAGCGTAAGACCTGAGAGATAGGCAACACAAATGACAGTAATAGTAAAGTCAATATTATCTCCAGGAAATCTGAAAAATTAACGATGGCAATATATTCTCAATAGCCGGAAACATCACTAATGAGAGTACATTTTTTATTTACATCTGTGATTCATTAATCAGCAATATCCTCGTTACAATAATCAATTTATTGTTCATATTATATAATTCCATCTGACATTCATAACGTAGCTTGACTTTGCACAAAAATTCCTTAAATCGAGTTGGACACCACATAGAAGTATTTTGATGAATGGAGTTGATATGACATATTTGGCAAAAGAAACTTATAACAAGATCTACATAAGAATAAATTGAGACTTAGTTCTATATCTACTAACTCAAATACAACATTCAGGTTCTGGATATTTTAATTCTCAATTACATTGACTGACAACTGCACTTTGTTCATTTGAAGTGGAAACTGTACTTTTGTATGACAAATCGTTTGGA